ACAAAAATATATACATTTGAAAGTTAGGTTGAATTAGTTTAGGGGTTATTTTTCGGATAGTGGTTTAACAATAAAAATAAATTTATTTATACACTAAAGTTTATTTCAAACTGGGCCAAAATTCTTTTGAATCGAGTCTATTGAAGTTGAGTCACCTATCATTTGGATTTGGCCCGTTTAAAATACGAACTTAAAATTTAAGCAAATTTGATTTAATCTATACTATAAAACCAAACTATAACCCTAAATTTAACCACCAAATTGCATTATCAACATGGGGGGGGGGGATTGGATTGATTTTAAGAAACCCTTTCAAATCCAATATAAGGGATTTTTACATACCGTTGAGCCCAGATTTAGCTGGGTCAGGTCCAATTAATTAAGTAAACCCAAATTAACTACAAAGCAGGTCTAACTCAACTCATGGATTCGATACAGTCTAAAGTTCGAGGAGTCCAAAAAGATTAGCGCATGTGGAGAGTAAATATCGGGATAACTACTATTCAAAGATAAAATTATCTTTAATTATACTTATTCTTAATTGTAGTTATCCTCTCCGAATGACTAGTTACATATTCTTACACGCCATCACCTCAATTAAGGCTCTATACTTATAAATTGTAAGTCCTTTACACATGAGAGACACATATCTACATCCCACACACAGCTATCTCCCTCGTGGCTGCCTTACCACATCTAGAGCTTACTCATGCTCTCCCCTCAACTACTTTTTCAATAAAGTCTTCCGGCTACCGATGTTGCCTTCAAAGTGAAGAAGGTCACCGTAATCGAACCACTCTATATTTGTGTGTTGCCTTTGTTGATTTTACCTTTATATTTACTGCATTTATTATCTATATTACTTTCTCGATTGTTGATTGTGCATCAATCTACTTTTGTACATTATCACATATGATTAAATCATAAATCTAATCTAATATCATATTTGGTAGATGACATAAATATATATACTAAGAGTGCGTTTGATAACGTTTTTGTTTTTATGTTTTTTTTATAAAAAAAATCAAAACAAATTTTTGTTTTTGTTGTGATAAAAATTAAAAATATAAAACATGTTTGATAGTCATTTATATTTAAAAAATTATAAAAACAAAAATAAAAAATATGTTTGGTATTACCAAAAAATTCACCACCTCCATCAACCGCCAACCACCAACCATCAGCCACCCAACACCACCGAAAACCAACCACCCACCATCATCAAAAACCACCACCCCCCACCCCGAAACTCACCACCATCGAAAACCCACCCCAATCCCCACCACCCACAACCACCCAACCCACCCCCATCCCTGAAACCCACAGCCGCCCAAACCCACCTCTACCATTACCCCTGAAATCCACCACCACCCCAAGCCCACCCCCATCCCCGAAAACCCACCACCACCCAAAACCACCATTACCGAAACCCACCATTCCTCCCCAAAATCCATCAACACTACCAAAATAGGAAAGATTGAAAGAAATAGAGAAAGAAAGAGAGAAAGAAAGAGAGAGAGAGAGAGTGATTGGATCCTTCAGTGGCGTTGGGGTTTGGATCCTTCTGTTTCTGCTTCGGCTTCATCTTCTTCTTCGTGGCTTTGGCTTCGGCATCGAGAGAGAGAGAGAGAGAAGCGACAGAGAGATGACATAGAGGAGTGAAAGGAAGAGAGAAAGATGGCATTTTATANGAGAGTGTGACTGGATCCTTCAGTGGCGTTGGGGTTTGGATCCTTCTGCTTCTGCTTCAGCTTCATCTTCTTTTTCGTGGCTTTGGTTTCGGCATCGAGAGAGAGAGAGAGGCGACAGAGAGATGACATAGAGGAGTGAAAGGAAGAGAGAAAGATGGCATTTTATACTCGAGCAAAACAATCCATCTTTTGTTGCTAAGGAAGATCGATGCCCAAATCTCATTAAATCCCTTTAACCATTGCACGTTTGTTTTTTCTTTTTGATGTTTTTAAAAACATCCTTTTGAATGTTTTCAAATTTTAGCCTTGTTTTCAAAACAGAGTAATTAAAAAAAAACAAAAATATTCACCAAACGTGTTTTTATTTTTTATTTTGTCATAAAATGAAAACAAAAAAAAAAACGAAANAACTTTTTGTTTTCTTTTGGTCTTCAAATACAATCTTTCACTCTACCCCTAATGGGTTTCATTAAATCCCCATACATGGCTTTTAGGTACGTGTGTTTNAGCTTTTTTTTTTTTCTTTTGGTCTTCAAATACAATCTTTCACTCTACCCCTAATGGGTTTCATTAAATCCCCATACATGGCTTTTAGGTACGTGTGTTTGGGGATAAGTGGGGCATAAGTAAGGGGATAGATGCACTATTCATTATGGGTCAAGATTCATTTTTCCTATAAATTACAATCCTCAAATTTTGAATCAAACATGATATTAGATGGTGCATTTGACTATTTTCATAAAATTCACCCTTTTAATTCTATCCAAACCCACATATCATAAGATTGAACTTGCACCTAGGCAATGGCTATATGGTACTAANGATAAGTGGGGCATAAGTAAGGGGATAGATGCACTATTCATTATGGGTCAAGATTCATTTTCCCTATAAATTACAATCCTCAAATTTTGAATCAAACACGATATTAGATGGTGCATTTGACTATTTTCATAAAATTCACCCTTTTAATTCTATCAAAACCCACATATCATAAGATTGAACTTGCACCTAGGCAATGGCTATATGGTACTAAAGGAGGCCAAATCACTAGGTGGCCTCATAAAAAAGGGAAAGTCTACGCTACTTACTACTTTTATGGTAAAATTATAACTTAAAAGGAAAAAAGTTATAATTGCTCATAGAAAGTTCATGATTGATTGATCAAAGGGACTATGATTGATCACGGATACACATGATCGATTAAGGACTCTCCCTGAACAATTGTAATTTTTCTCTTATGAATTGTAACTTAACTTTTAAAAGTTATAATTTCGTTATCAATCTCAAATATATTATAGCCAATCATGACAGTTAAATGTTGTNGATTGATCAAAGGGACTATGATTGATCACGGATACACATGATCGATTAAGGACTCTCCCTGAGCAATTGTAATTTATCTCTTATGAATTGTAACTTAACTTTTAAAAGTTGTAATTTCGTTATCAATCTCAAATATATTATAGCCAATCATGACAGTTAAATGTTGTAACTATCACTTTAAAAAAGGTATAACTTAACCTTCAATAGTTGTAAATTTTAGTTCGATACCTCCTTCGATACCATAGCCTTTCCCCATAAAAAATACATAGCTTCCTTGATTTGTTACTCATTAATAATTTGTTATACACAAATGCCTTAGTAATATTGGAACAAATTTGAATCTCTTTCAATATATATATATATTACTTTCAATATTTTTTATGATAAATTATTCTTTCTATTACAAGTGAGATCTATTATATNTCGGAACATATTTGAATTTCTTTCAATATATATATATATATTAGTTTCAATATTTTTTATGATAAATTATTCTTTCTATTACAAGTGAGATCTATTATATATACATTACATGTGATCAATTATTAAGACAAAAAGAAAATATGGATGAGACAACTCGGCTCCATATTGGAAGCATCCTATGATGGTTCCTAGTTCGGACTGCACATCTTCTTCACTTATTAGAACTTATGAAAATGAGAACTATTACGGTATTGAAATAGATTTTTCAGGATCATACTTTTATTTTTTGACTAATAAAAATGCACCACATATGTTATGTATTTTTTCTTATTTTACAATTTTTTATTATTATATAATTAATAATTATAAATCATTCAAATTAAAAATTATGACCCGAATNTCCTTCACTTATTAGAACTTATGAAAATGAGAACTATTACGGTATTGAAATAGATTTTTCGGTATCATACTTTTATTTTTTGACTAATAAAAATGCACCACTTATGTTATGTATTTTTTCTTATTTTACAATTTTTTCTTATTATATTATTATATAATTAATAATTATAAATCATTCAAATTAAAAATTATGACCCGAATCATTTTTGATACATTACAAAAAAGAGTTTTCTAGCCTTGCTTGGGTCTGGGAAGCAAGTGCAGTGATCCACATAAAAACCGTCGGGTGACTAATCAGCAGCCTGGATAAGAATGAACTTTAATTTCGACCCAAACAGTCTCCTGCTCTCCGACCGCCAATCAGTTCTAACGGTACGGTTTTCAAAANGGAGCAAGTGCAGTGATCCACATAAAAACCGTCGGGTGACTAATCAGCAGCCTGGATAAGAATGAACTTTAATTTTGACCCAAACAGTCTCCTGCTCTCCGACCGCCAATCAGTTCTAACGGTACGGTTTTCAAAATTTGAAACTGAGACATTTTGAGCAAACTCGGGCCGGAGTGGGCCCATGAAGTTGGAGCCGTTCAAATATTCGCAGTATGGATGGCCGTCCCTTTGTTGTTCAGTATAAGAACTCCCCAGTCTTGAGAGTATGATTTAAGGCTATACACCACCTCCTTGTTCGACACGTGTTCCTACACTACCTTTTCAATTTCCAGCTCAGCGATTTTTCTGTTTCAGAAGCCAACAATCATTTTGCTTTTATTTTAATAATCTTAATTATATATATTTTTGAGATTTTTAATCACGATATTTGTTTGAAATTATAATTTTTATTTTTATAATAAAAAAATAATATTAAATTTTTATATTTTTCAATTTTTTATTCTCCAACACAAAAAAAAAAAAATCTAACAATTTTGAAATATTATTGCCACACATGGACTTCCATTAAGTGGAAAGATCTTGGGGGGGGGGAAAAAAAACAAATGGCAGCAAGAGAGCGTGTGGGGAACGCTCTTGCTGCGAGTACAGCTAAAGTTGGGGTATTATTTTTAATTTTTGAGAATTCTTCAGATTTCCCGCCCATATGGCATTTGGCACACAGTTTACCTTGCCCTAAAAGTTCTCAATCATCCCCCTACTATATAACTCCCATCTCTCTCTCTGTCTCTCTGTCTTCGTCACATTCTTCCGCTCTCTCTCTCTGAATTCACATCTCATGGAGGACTCTGTCAAAGATCTAACCCCTGTCCCTGGTACTGAAAACTCAATCCCTAATATCTCTCTACCTCTGTGTGTGTATGTGCATCTGTGTNTGTCCCTGGTACTGAAAACTCAATCCCTAATATCTCTCTACCTCTGTGTGTGTATGTGCATCTGTGTTTTTCTCTTGTATAACCGGTATGGAAATTGCAGAGAAATCTGGTGGCAAACCATCGTCAAAGCTTCTTCGGTATCCACTGCGCTCCGCCACTAAGTCCAAGGAGGAGAAACCGCCGGCGGCCGATTCCTCAAAGTCTTCTACTCCAGGGAGGTATCAATCCCTATCTCTTCATTTTTTATTTTTTATTTTTTTTGTTTAGAAACATGCACATTTGATTGGTTTAGATTATAAGATTCTACACATTTGTTGATCGTATTGAACTAGTGATAATTTCCGACTAGAAACATTGTTGAATTAGTACAAATTTATAGTGGGACTTTGGTGTATTTGGTGGGTTTTATTTATATCATTGATCAGATCTTATATTTTTGCCACATGTTTGACTGACGCTGATGTCGTAAAATTCTCAGTTTTTCTTACGAATTTGTGGTTAGCTTTTCCAAATCATGTCAATTTCATCTTTTATGTGAATTGCGTTTTTTTATATAGTGACTGAGCGTATGAATGTTTTTGCAAGAGCGAACTCCAAGTTCTTAAGTTTTCCTTGGAAGGAAAAAAATGTGCTTTTTTCGCTCATGCTTATTACTTCTCAGTAGTCAATTCACTGACGGTAGAAAATTATTCTCAGATCCTTTGGTTCCACAACTGGCAGTCATGTTCTTGTTTTCATAAAATTTGAATATAGCTTGGAACATATATAGTCTATTGAATGGATTTTTATTTATTTATTTATTTTTTTTGTGGGTTGAAACCAGGAGCAGAAAGGTAAATTGCAAAGACAGAGTACTTTGTAGATTTATTCCGTTAAAGACACACTAAACGTTTAATTCATGAGACATTTAGCTTGTGACATCAGATTTCATCTCCATTCTCGTTCATCAGTTCATATATTCGATTGAATGCTACTACGTTGCAAGGTTAAGTGTAAAGTGGGACAACAGTTCTTGACTTGCTCTACACTAAAACCTACATTTCTTTGAGTTTATTTTCCTTATAGGGCACGTAACACTAAATGTTTAGCCTTATTACAAGATGCCTTATAATTCATGCTAGTCATTTTTCTTGTCTGACACCATCTCAATCTGTGAAGTATTGTCCAAGTACTTGTAATGTGTTTTTCTTTCCCTCTGTAGGGGGAAAACACCAGGCTCAACAATAGGAAGGAAAAAAGGTTTATGTTGCTGATTATGATAGGAAATCATTGGTTATTTGAAAATTGCTAATTTATTGCTGTAGGACTGTTATCCATTTTTCTCACGCACAAAAAGGCCAATTTAGATAAAAAAAAATCCCTGCAGATGAAATTTTCGTGAGGCAGAAAACTTTGCAGTTCTTACATGGTCTGCATCAATCTGATTTCATTTTATGCATGCATATGTGAATATTTAGGGGGTTATGAAGGGAGTACTTCAAATTCACTCTCTTCAGAAATTTCCTTTTTGGAGTCCAATAATAAAATTTGATGAACACCTTCACTTGTTCACAATATGCACGATTCTGCAACATGTTCTATGCACACCGTATTACAAATGCACACATTATATATATAAGTACATGCTTTTTTGCAAAACAATTCTTCAACTTTTATTTGCTTTGAATGCATTCATCTTCAGGGGAAGACCTGCTTCAAGTGTAAGCAAGAGTGTTAGTGTTCTTGATCTCTCTGGGAAGGAAAAATCTGCCAAACCTCCCAGAAGGCTATCTGTTCCTGCCAAGTCAGCTGCCAGCGCTGTTCCTAAGTCATCTGGCAATATTTCTCCAATTTCTGAGGCTAGAACAAAGGGGTCTGCCCGTAACCAGGGGAAAAGTGAGACGCCAGTTTCTGATGTTTCCAGATCATCAAACAGAAGGAGGTTCAGCGTTTTGTCTTCAGCATCATATTGGCTGTCTCAGATTAAGCTCTCTGAATCTGCTGCAAAGCACTCAATATCTCTTGGTTTCTTTAAACTTGCTCTAGAGGCTGGATGTGAGGTATGCCAAATTGTATATTCTATTTTTCTTGTTTTAATAGTTTCACGCAATAATGAAAGGGTAGAGTTGATTCTTTCTGAAACTTGATTTTAATCTTAAGCTTAATGTACTTGTTGACCTTGAAATATTTATTAAAAAAAATAATACTGATTTGACCACAAGGTTTTTTGTCTAAAGTAGTATCTGGGACAAGTAAACAGAAGGTGACAAAATTGTACCTTATAGGGTGTATCAGTAATTGTGATTGCTTCATGTCCAATATCTAACCAGATACTGATATGTTTTAATTTAACAAGAAAAAAAGAAACGATCTACCACCAAACATTGTTTCAATTTTTCATTTGTTTTAATTAGATAAGTTGAATAAGTACTTGGTCAGCTGATAGAATATTGTATGAGTACCTTGAAATGATTTATGCTATGTTTCTTAAATTGATTGCTCTGTCTCAATCTTTGTCTCAATAGTCTTCATTGATTCTTACACACTTGAGCGTCACAAGGAGAATGTTGCTAGCAAAAGTTATGTATAATTCTTCTGTGTTTAAGTTGCATTAAGAACCTAATCATAGGATGCTGTTCCTTCCAAGCGGAAGTGTACAATTCTGTCAACTATTTTGCAACTTGAGGATTATTAGTGTGTTACTGTATAGTTATATTTGTGCACTATCGATGTGAGATAGTATAACTCTTAACTAGTTCAATGTTTAATTTTGACAACTTTTTTTTTGTTTTCCTTCATTGTTAAATGTGAAAACAGCCTCTTAATCGAATGAGGGATGAGCTGAAATCATATGCGCGTCGACAGAACCTTGTCGAACTTGGAGAAATTGTAAAGGAACTATTTGAAATCTACAGTATTACAGAGACCTTTGAGCAGTTGCAGGTTTCTGAAACCTGTTCCCATGTCCCTGATGAGGGAACTCGATCATCTGATGATGATGTATACAGCACTTCGTCTATTCCGGGAACTCAGAAGCTGAAACCAAAGTCCTTGAACACTAGTACACTTGACACTTCCCCAGTCAAAAAATCAGCTAAGCAGACTCCCCAGACACGTAATTCTGTAACTAGGATCAGGGGGTTGGTGAATAAGAGTTCTGCAAACTCAAAAACTGCTACAGAAGTCCAGGTTCACAATGCACACAGGAAATCTCATATGTCAAGCAAGCAAGAATCCAGTAAATTGAAGGATAAGGTCAAGAAGCAAGGAAAGAAATCTGCTCACGAAGAAGGTAAGTGTGTGGAGGGCTCTCTTTCATAAACTATTTATTTTGACTTTGCAGCTATGCAAATTGATTTTTTTTTTTCCCTGTATTTCCAGGTCCAATTAACACTCTGCCTGTTGAAGAAGCACTCCAAGATAACAAAGAGAACATGGTAAGATTAATTTAACAGATGATTATCAAAAGCAATAAAATGGCATCTTATTATTCATCTCCCTGGGGTTTAATGTCCAAGCCCTTTTCTCCTTGAATTATTGGTCTATGCAAATTCTTTTTACTTGGATGCTTATTGCTGGTTTTATTTCTTACATCCGTATTTGTAGGATGCTCGTCAGACGGAAGAGATCAATTCAACAGAAGTTTAGGCAGACATCCAGCACCAAGCATGTTTAACAATATTTGTTTGTATGCTCTTGTTTGTTTGGTCTTCAGTGTTTTACTGGGAGGCTTTTCCATTGTATAGAAAGGTTTTAACTTTAAAGTGGGAATTGTTCCAGTCTGGTGTGAAGTGTGAATTTATCCTTTTTTTGTTTTGTTTTTAATTCTGTTGATTTCTGTTGTTGGTGGCTAGAACTGGGACCTAATGGAACTAGTATTATACAGCTTTTTGTGATTCTAAATTGCTATTAAGTGCTATAGTGTTTGCTTGATTTGGTAACTTTTTGGCTTGAATTTTGCGTGTGTAATACCAATATTTTATTTTGAAAGTGGAGTGATCCGGTGAGGGTTGTACTTGAACATAGTGATTGTGTGACCAATCAAAATTTTCCGTTGGCAAGAGTTTGTTTACTGGTCCATGTTTTGGTCCTTGCACCTTTCTCCCTCTTCATTGCCAATTTCTCATAGCCATGGCATTTGAAAGAGCCTCTATTAACAGAGTTGCTTCAGGGTGGATGATGCACGAAGTTAAAAATCACTTCAACTACGGTGCATTTGTAAGTTGAGTTGAAGATACCGAGTTGAGATTTTTTTTATTTGCTGGGAGGTTTAGTACAGTGAAAGAGAGAAAGAAAATTAAGCTAGCTAATTATGATAAGGCGATATTGGAAGGTGATTCAAAGAATGTCATCAATGCCATGGAACGTAGGGATCCAAACTTATTTGGTATTAGGACATTTATCGATCTAGTTCATGAGCTTGCGAGTTTATTGGTGGATTTTTCTACAAGATGGATTAGAAGAGATGGTAATTTTGTTGCTAATTGTTTAGCAAAGTTTGCTTTGAAATGTAAAGAGTCTAAGAGTTGGAGAGAAACCTGTCCTGATTTCTTGTATCCTCTCCTTCACAAGGATGTTTTGCAATGTCTCGATGAAATAATATTATTTTGTTGTTTCTTCTAAAAAAATCCCTATACTAATTGGATGTCTCCCTGAACACTGCTTCACTCACTAAGTTTGGAAGCTGGTGATCAAGAAGAACGCTTGTGTACTTGAGGGCTAGTTCGCATCTTTGTATCTCTGTAAGCACGTATTATGTTCTAATCAGGATAATTCTTTAGAATTTGCTTCAGATCTTGGATTATTGTCCAAATCTGCAAGAGAGTCTCTACATGTGGAAGTATGACTGCGTGAACCACAGTTTGGGAGTCGCTTTCTATGGTGACATAGTTCCGGTTTCGCCTTTCTACCCAAAGAGCTGCAAATTTCCTTGCTAAGGCTTCCGTCATGATAGGATTCATGCCTGATTCCGGAGTGACTCGAGCTCCTCTGGCTGAGCCATCATGGGGGACCATCTATTACTTTTTACAGCTTACAAGGTTGGAATTATTGAACTTGTGGGGCATTAGTCTTGCAATCATCTGTAGAGTGTCTAGTTGGAGTTGAGACCTTGAAATAAAGGAAAGTTGGTCCAGGATTGAGGCATGGCCAACTAGTTCATCAATTAAAAGCATGTTAAATTTGCTCTGTTTGTGTGTTATAAATATTAATGGCATTTAACATGTTGTATGTGGCATGAAGTGTTTGCTTCTTATCTTTACACAATAAGAGAGTGGGAGAAAAAAAAACAATGTTGGACTTGTATTTAATGCTTTGTTAAATTTTTAGGATTAAAGAAGCTACAAATCAAGACCAATCACTTGATGGAAAATGTTAAGCTTGTTGAGGCTTTAATTTATAGTTTGATTGAATAATTAATTTATTTTGAATAGTTGTGGCTATTAGGAAAAACTATTATTTGAATAATTGTGATTANGATTGAATAATTAATTTATTTTGAATAGTTGTGGCTATTAGGAAAAACTATTATTTGAATAATTGTGATTAAAAGGAAAAATACCATTTGAATAGCGATGTGACCATTAGAAAAAAAAAAATCCACTTACAAAGGTCGTGACTATTAAGAAAAAAACATTTCTTTAGAACAATCGGGACTTTTAGAAAAAGACACCTATTTTGAGGGTTGTGATTTTTGAGAAAATATATTAAAAAATCTGTAAATAGGGCTCTAGACTTTATTCACAGACACATCACAATTATATATAACTCATCTTTCTCTCTCTCTCTCCCTCACAATAAAAACTGTAAATGAGACTTTTTTAAAAGTTCTTTTAATATTACTAATTGCAGTTCTTCAACTCACAGGATTTGTTGTATCTTGGGGACGACATTATGTTTAACATAATTCAATGCCAGAAAAAGAAAAAAACATAATTCAGGAGTTTTATGCTTACCAAAATGGGCCCATAGTTTTGGGATTTAATTNGTTTAACATAATTCAATGCCAGAAAAAGAAAAAAACATAATTCAGGAGTTTTATGCTTACCAAAATGGGCCCATAGTTTTGGGATTTAATTGGAACTATTGATCCAGGGGCCCTTAACCCTAAAAGTCTGCAGAGTGACTAATTAGAGGCTTTGTATGATTGATGCAGGCCCTAACTTCTGGTAGCAGCAATATTGAACATTTCTGGTTGTTCTTCGCCCATTGTCCAGAGTGGNTTATTTTGAATAGTTGTGGCTATTAGGAAAAACTATTATTTGAATAATTGTGATTATAAGGAAAAAAATACCATTTGAATAGCGATGTGACCATTAGAAAAAAAAAAAATCCACTTACAAAGGTCGTGACTATTAAGGAAAAAACATTTCTTTAGAACAATCGTGACTTTTAGAAAAAGACACCTACTTTGAGGGTTGTGATTTTTGAGAAAATATATTAAGAAATCTATAAATAGGGCCCTAGACTTTATTCACAGACACATCACAATTATATATAACTCATCTTTCTCTCTCTCTCCCCCACAATAAAAACTGTAAAGGAGACTTTTTTAAAACTTCTTTTAATATTGCTAATTGCAGTTCTTCAACTCACAGGATTTGTTGAATCTTGGGGACGACATTACGTTTAACATAATTCAATGCCAGAAAAAGAAAAAAACATAATTCAGGAGTTTTATGCTTACCAAAATGGGCCCATAGTTTTGGGATTTAATTTGAACTATTGATCCAGGGGCCCTTAACCCTAAAAGTCTGCAGAGTGACTAATTAGAGGCTTTGTATGCTTGATGCAGGCCCTAACTTTTGGTAGCAGCAATATTGAACATTTCTGGTTGTTCTTCGCCCATTGTCCAGAGTGGGGTGCAACTCTATTAAATTGGACGCAATATGCATTATGAGATTAACTCGAGCTCAATCAATTGGAGTGGTCAGCCACTCTGATGGACCCAAAGGTTCGTTAATATATAAAATTTTAAGCTCGTGTTTAACAAGAGTTGCACCTTCTCCTCTGAAATTTGAATCAAAATCGAATTCAATGAGATTTTAGTTATCGGCTTATACAAATTATCAGTTTATTTTTGAATCGGTCAAATTTTGATTTAGAATGCAACCAACTTTAATTTTTGAGTTACAAAAATTAAATGGATTGGGTTTGGAGAACTCGAGTTTCCAACACAGGTATTACTAGAATCTAAATGGCCGTTGAGAAATTTTTGTCCAATTACAAAATATTTTGGGTTGAGCTAAGAGTGAGTTCTAGTTGAACCATCCTAGTTNCGGTTGGGAAATTTTTGTCCAATTACAAAATATTTTGGGTTGAGCTAAGAGTGAGTTCTAGTTGAATCATCCTAGTTAGGGGTGTCTATGGGCCGGTCGAGTTAGGACCGTGAATTTTTTTTTGGGTCGGACTTAAGTAAGGTAGGACCAAGTCTTCACTCAAGTGAATTATCAGCCGAGTCGAACTTTGAATAATAGTACAATTTTATTTAAAAAAATTTTAACTTGATATTTTTGTAAATTATATTTTTGAATTAAAAGTAGAGTCAATTTGTACAAAAAATAAATAATAAATAATTTTATCTATAATATAAAACAAAACGACTTTAACAAACAAATCCAACGGTCTCAAATTAATTCATCCAACGCTTAAGAAATTACCTTTTTTTTTTCCCTTAATAATCTCCCCAATTGGTCAACAATTACGACTGATCTTGGAATATATCCGACGTTCCCAAATTCAATTATCCAACGGTCAATAAATAACAATTTTTTAGCTTAATATTTTTCTTCCAATCGGTCAACGATTATGACTGATCTTGAAATATATGATTTTTTTTGACATAATAATTAAATGGGTCAAGTTTATCATTAATATCTATAATATAAAACATGACGGCTTCAACAAACAAATCCAACGGTCTCAATCAATTCATCCAACGCTTAAGAAATTACTTTTTTTTTCCCCTTAATAATCCCCCCAATTGGTCAACAATTACAACTGATCTTAGAATACATCTTACGATCCCAAATTTATTTATCCAACGGTCAATAAATTACTTTTTTTTCTTAATATTTTTCTCCCAATCAGTCAACGATTATGACTAATCTTGAAATACATAATTTTTTTGACATAATAATTAAATGAGTCAAATTTTTCATTAATATCATTTATGTAGTGTAACATTTTGAATTTTTATAAGACACAATAATAACATTTTGATTATAAAAACCTCATCAATAATATAAAACAGGACGGCTTCAATAAATCCATCATACGCTCTCAAATTTATTCATCCAATGGTTAATAAATTACTTTTTTTTCCTTAATATTCCCCCCCAACCGGTCAACGATTACAACTAAATTTGGACACATCCTACAATCTTAAATTCATTCATTCAAATGTCAAGAAACTACCATTTTTTCTTAATATTTTTCCCCAATTGGTCAACGATTTTTTCTTAATATTTCTCCTCACTCTCTTTCTCTTTCTCTCTCTCTCTCTCTCTCTAGCAATGACGAATAGAGGAGGAGTCTAGAACCACCCTGATATATTTTCTTTTAGTTATATATATTTTATATATATTTTTTTGATATTTCTAATTGGGCCCGTCGTAATAATTTATGAAAAAGAAAATTAATTGAGTCAAACAAGTTGGGTCCTATAATAAAAAAAAATTCCATACCAAATCTATTAAAATTAGCAAACTAAAATTGATTACTTAAAATATTGGTATGATTTGTTGGAGCTTCATTTGGTTCAAAAATTATGAAATATATAGCAAAAAATGAGTAAAATATAAAATTTGTAAGAATATTAAATATTATATAATATTACTTTTATTTGTGTCAAATCTATAATATTAAATAGGGAAGACTTCAATAAATTTATTCGACGGTGTCAATAGACTTATCTAACAGTCTCTAACATCCCTCTCAAAATCATTCATATTGAATTTTTATCCTCCCAAATCATTCATTTCTCACTTACATTGTACCGTGCCTTCAGACACGAGTTACCCATAGTTTATGAATAAGAGATGAACCTAACCTTTTTTCTTTTTTCAATTGAGCATTGAGTGCACCTACCTTTGTAATTTTAGAGACATATTGGATGTGTTTGGGTAGTGGGCTAAGGTGGATTAACCTCCATAAGGATAGAGTAATAAGACAATGGATTCCACAAAACCTTTGTTTGAGAAGCAAAAAATAGCTGGGACATAAATCCCGGGTCTATCCTTGACCCGGGTGCTACAGTGATTTTTAACCCTGCTATATGGGTTAAAATTAACCCACCTCCCCCATGGGTTTCAATCCCAGCCGATGGGTTATGAAAGGGTAATTACATATTTACCCACCTCCTCTCCTGCGAACTCTCTTCTCGCTTTGTGAAGGCAACGAGTCCCATAGCTCTATCTCTCGCTCTTTGTGTGTGTGTGTGTCTCTCTCCCTCTCTCTCTGTGTGAAGGAGACGAAGCCCAAGCCCAACGGTTTTGTTGGGATGGGTTTGGGTGCCTGAGTGGATTGAATGAAGAAGAGAACTTCACCTGTACCATCCCTAACCTCGATCGTTCATAGTCACCTGCACCACCACGATGATGGATGATTTATACCCTAATTTCTCTATCTCTCAGATATGAAATGTGATGGTGGGTGATTTTGAAACCCTAATTCTCCTCTATCTTTCATATTTGAATCATTTTTGTGGTGATGGTGGTGGGTGTTTCTATGGTGGTCTTTGGTGTTTCTGTTGTAGCGGTGGTTGTGATCTTCGGTGTTTCTGTTGTGGCGGTGGTTGTGGTCTTCGGAGTTTCTATTGTGGTAGTGGTGGTGGTCTACGGTGTTTCTATTGTGGTGGTGGTGGTGGTTTGCGGTGTTTTTGTTGTGGCGGTGGTGACGGCGTTTCTGTTGTGGTGGTGGTGGGTATTGCTCCTGTAGTGGTGGTGGGTATTCTCTGTCTATGCAAAACTTCCCCAATGGATAGAACGAAGAAGATGATCACTGGCAGATGGATGGTTCTAGCTTTTGTGTTTGATGGATTTATCTTGGGAGAATTATACTTAGATCTCCTGAAACTTGCCATTTGATTATTTAAACCCATGATATTTAAAATATTAAACATAAATTCTCTTAAGTTTATATGTGCGTAACACTTAAACCCCTCAAGATTAATATCTTCGTTAATAAATTACACTTAAATTCCTTTGAAGTTAGTATTAGGTATATAATACTTAGACACCTTAAATTTAAAATATTATATTTAGACCAAAAATACTTTAATCAAAGATAAAATATCAAATATTATTTTACAATCAAAATTTATATTCTATTGTATTATTTATTGAAATAAAATTAAAATTTAAAATTTAATTGTTTCTTAAAAAATCATAATTAGTGTATAATTATACCATCTATTGAAATAACACTAAAAAAAATTAAATAAGGGGTTTAAATCATATATAATTTTTATATGTTTTTAAGTATATGTGAAAAATGTATAATTTTATTAGGATAATCCACTGGTCCAAATATATGAAGGCAATGTTGTTTGCCTTTCTCCCATTGTAATCAATTATTAAGAAATGAAATAAAGTGTTGATTTGTTTGAAAAAAAAATACTAATATATATATAACTTTCTTTATTTTTATATGTTTTTATGTATATTTGAAAAATATATAATTTTATTAGGTTTGGATGAGTTAACCAAATATATGAAAGGATTGAAATGGATAGAGTTATGGGTAGAATGGTAAAACTATTATAAAATTATTTGTGTAATCTATGGAGTCCACTAAATTATACATTTGTTTCCCAAACAAAGGTTAAGATTGAATATAATCGTGGGTTATGATTTTAAAGCGAATGTATGAGTTTGACTTGGATTGGTTAGGATATAAAAAAACAAAACCGACCCTATCCCATCCCATTACCCAAACACACCCATTACCATCAAACTTTCAATGTATTAACAGTCATTTGTTTTTCAAATAANCTCTTAAGTTTATATGTGCGTAACACTTAAACCCCTCAAGATTAATATCTTCGTTAATAAATTACACTTAAATTCCTTTGAAGTTAGTATTAGGTATATAATACTTAGACACCTTAAATTTAAAATATTATATTTAGACCAAAAATACTTTAATCAAAGATAAAATATCAAATATTATTTTACAATCAAAATTTATATTCTATTGTATTATTTATTGAAATAAAATTAAAATTTAAAATTTAATTGTTTCTTAAAAAATCATAATTAGTGTATAATTATACCATCTATTGAAATAACACTAAAAAAAATTAAATAAGGGGTTTAAATCATATATAATTTTTATATGTTTTTAAGTATATGTGAAAAATGTATAATTTTATTAGGATAATCCACTGGTCCAAATATATGAAGGCAATGTTGTTTGCCTTTCTCCCATTGTAATCAATTATTAAGAAATGAAATAAAGTGTTGATTTGTTTGAAAAAAAAATACTAATATATATATAACTTTCTTTATTTTTATATGTTTTTATGTATATTTGAAAAATATATAATTTTATTAGGTTTGGATGAGTTAACCAAATATATGAAAGGATTGAAATGGATAGAGTTATGGGTAGAATGGTAAAACTATTATAAAATTATTTGTGTAATCTATGGAGTCCACTAAATTATACATTTGTTTCCCAAACAAAGGTTAAGATTGAATATAATCGTGGGTTATGATTTTAAAGCGAATGTATGAGTTTGACTTGGATTGGTTAGGATATAAAAAAACAAAACCGACCCTATCCCATCCCATTACCCAAACACACCCATTACCATCAAACTTTCAATGTATTAACAGTCATTTGTTTTTCAAATAAATGGTCAGATGGATTGGGCTGGTGGGTGGGCTCATGGTTGAGTAATAGATTTGAGGACAAATCCACGTTTTCTCTTAAAGGATTATTAACTATCAAATTTATCGAGTTTCAAACTACGTAACAACACCTGTGAGCCAACCCACCCATGAACCCCCTTAATCCTAGTTGATCTACAAAAGAGATAGACGCCATCGGTCGTAACAGCTTATAACTCGAGTGAACAGTCACAGTGGTTAGTTGAACCCACCATCCAAAACTCCGTTAATAAATAAATTTTTGACCTCGCATTTAACTAGGGAAACATTGTTTGATTTGAAAGTCAGATGAAAATCGCACTTAATTTGGGGTTGATTACCACGTTAGCGGGTTAAATTTGGATCGAATTTGAGTTCAACTTATATTACAATCAACTCTTGAATTACTTTGGTTCAACGGTTAGAAGTGTCTGTATTAGTTTGTACGTACTTCAACTAGTCTCCTCCCTGATTCAATTAAAGACAGACCATTCATGTCAAAATTAAGATATTCATGAGTAACTAAATTCAAATTCAAGATCTCTGTGTTTACAACTCGTCTCTATTATAACTTGAACTACTTGACCCAAGTTTTTTAACACAAATATTGCTTGAAATAAAATTGATAATTTTGCCCAATTACAAAATATTTCGTGTTAAGTTGAGATTGGTTCAAGTTAGAACTATCCAAGTTGCAAGTATAGGAATTCACTATCATAGACTANATATTTCGTGTTAAGTTGAGATTGGGTTCAAGTTAGAACTATCCAAGTTGCAAGTATAGGAATTCACTATCATAGACTAGACTTCAGAGTTTGATAAAAGTCATTACTTTGTTTTTCCAGTCGTAACAGCTTAGAGAGGAAGACCATACGTCCATAATCAGATAAGACGTGGTAGCTTCTATCTTCTATATTCATTCATTGCCTGTCAATTTATGCCATAAATACATTATCCCACATACTTCATAGATCAACAAGTTGTGATTCAAAGAGACAAAATAATGGCGGTTATTCAATTTTCCCACTTCCAGTCACCATCTACGCCCACAATTTTCTTCATCATACATCATCAATTATTTGTCATATATATTTATAAAAAAAGTCAAATTACTCAAATATATACGTTTTTTGTGTTATTTTCGTCATTATTCTTTTAATTATGTCACTTTGATTTATTAAGTTTTTAATATGTATTACTTTGGTCCCATAAAAAAGATAGTTTCGTTAACTAACGAAGATGATTTAAATTATCACATTTGAAGAATTTTTTTTGAAAACTCGATGAATTAAAGTAGCTCAAATTATGAACTTGAAGAAAGAAAAAGACACAAATTACAAACTTAAGACACCAAGGATCTCTCAAAGACGCACGTGAACACTTCTGTTAATCAAATTAAATTGCAAAAGGATGGATTAAAGTGATGCAAAATGTATAATTGAGTGACTATTAGTGTATTGTACCAAAAAAAAAAAAAAGGGCAAAATACATGCACAATTTTCTTTGTTATACAAGCAAAACCAATCAAATGATATGGTCTCTGTTATCACTAGGAGAGGTAGATTTACTCTTGGATGTGGAAAATGGCAACGAAGGTGGAAGAAACATCAAATTTCCTGCTTGGGAATTCGCTGCTGAAGTTGATTTGTTCAAGTAGCTTGACGAGCATTTACTTGCATTTGAAGTTGATGGGAAGTTCGAAGCAACTGGGAAGGACTCACCCAGCTTCAAATTCGGTCCAAATTTATCTCCTCCGCCATGGTTTCCGACTGTCCCACCACCGCCATTGCCGGAGCCGATGATTGACGTTAGAGCCGCTGCTAAAGCAGATTGGAAACTTGGGTCTGATGTGATTGCTTTAGTTGCAGCTGCAATGGTGTCTGGTGGAAGAGATTGCTGAGTTGGAGTAGGAACATTCTTTTGCATGTGAGATAGATAAAGATTTTCTTGAGGTTGTTTTCCAAAGCTAAAGGAACCAATTTGGTTCTTATTGTAATGTTGAGCCTGAGTTCCATAGCTAAGGACACCATTGCTCCAAGAGGTTGGTAGAGGGTTTGATTCCAAAGAACTGAAGTTGAGATTTGCAGAAGGATATCTTGAAGGAAAGTTTGTGGGAATTCTGTTGACATGAGATGATGAAGATAATGAGTTTGAAGTGAGGTCAAGAATGATTGTTGGACATGAATGTGAAGATGAGATTGAAGAATTGCCTAGGTAGAATTGACTGGATTTTGAGTTGTTGGATAGATAAAAGTTTTGGCCATGGAGGTCAGTGGCAGCGGTGGTGTTAGTGACTGATCGGCTGGGGATTGACCCAGAGATCGATGAGCCAGACGTTAGCATGCAAGCGGCTGCCGCGGTGGTGGAAGCCATGGCAGTGGCGGAGATAGGAAGTGGGTGATTGTGTGTGCCTTCATAGGTGGTGATCAAGATGGACATGTCCTCTGCACATCTTTGAACCTATAGTTAAGAAATTAAGAAGCATGAGTAACAGCAAAATCACAGTTCCATAAATAATTTCACTGATCCAAAAAAATAAATGATAAGACTCAAACATGTCACGAGGGCACAAAGGAGTTCCAACTAGAGATATATACTCCAAAAAATACATCCATAAACCAAAATCCACACCCCATACAAAAAGTAATGTTCATGACATTTAGTCTAAATCAATTCATAGATAGATCTCTCTCCATATGGATAAGTATCCATCTAGAGCTTGATTCATANACCAAAATCCACACCCCATACAAAAAGTAATGTTCATGACATTTAGTCTAAATCAATTCATAGATAGATCTCTCTCCATATGGATAAGTATCCATCTAGAGCTTGATTCATAATTTCTATTTTTTTTTTGTTCCTGATTGCATTTTCATGAAGGGGTCCTACTTGGGTGTAGTCATTCACAAATGCAAGGTACTTTATTTTACTTACTATTAGAAATGGATGACTACAGTAGATACATATGACTTTCTTCACTCAGAGAGAAATCCTAAGTTCTNACTTTCTATTTTTTTTTTGTTTCTGATTGCATTTTCATGAAGGGATCCTACTTGGGTGTAGTCATTCACAAATGCAAGGTACTTTATTTTACTTACTATTAGAAATGGATGACTACAGTAGATACATATGACTTTCTTCACTCAGAGAGAAATCCTAAGTTCTTCTAAGTTTCATACATAGAAAGTTCAAAAAATCAATCAAATCTCTAGATTAAGAGGTTGAGGTCTGAACTCCGATAGAGAATATGTGCGCTAAGAAAGAAAAAGTGTTATCATTATAAGAAANTTCATAGAAAGTTCAAAAAATCAATCAAATCTCTAGATTAAGAGGTTGAGGTCTAAACTCCGATAGAGAATATGTGCGCTAAGAAAGAAAAAGTGTTATCATTATAAGAAATGAAGCAATGACCAACACGCTAAGCTAAGATCAAGCACTCGGACAACGTGGAGACTTTCTTTCTCCGTTGCCTGTCTTAATAAGTGGATTCCAATTCATTTGGTCATTCTTTGCTGCATTGGTGTTTTCATCCCACTTTCCAGCCTACAAAATGGATGAAGACTCAATACATCTTCACACATGGTCTAAGTCCAGCAAAAATCACGCACCCTTCAAGTAAAGTTTAGGGTATTGTATTTTTCACTATAGTTATTATGTTCATAATATCCTTTCAAACTATTACGTGTTTCACATTAAACCTCTAACTATGGTTACTAATTTTTCATTATCCCATTTATTTTAGTAGAAATGAGTCCTCCAATTTTAGATATTGAAAACGTGTATTTTACAACGAATGTGTATTTACAGAAAAGATATGTAATTTTGGAGCAATGTGAAACTATTTTAAGTAGCTGAGAAGGGAATGTGAGACTGGAGTCATACTTTACGGTAACAAAGTGTAAACTGTCCTCATTNAGATGAGTCCTCCAATTTTAGATATTGAAAACGTGTATTTTACAACGATTGTGGATTTACAGAAAAGATATGTAATTTTGGAGCAATGTGAAACTATTTTAAGTAGCTGAGAAGGGAATGTGAGACTGGAGTCATACTTTACGGTAACAAAGTGTAAACTGTCCTCATTCTTTCTTCTCATTTTCTGGCTAATATGGCTCACAGTTCAATATGACCAAAAAAAAAAAAAAGAATTTTTTAATCAGAATTAAAAAAAATAAAAATAGAACTTAAGATAGCATTTATACCTGTTTTCTTACTGGGCAATTTAGTGCAACAGTGCAACGATAATATGCTCGAGGGCATGGGTTTCCTTTTGCAATTTTCTGTCCATATTTCCTCCATTGGCAACCATCGTTCATCTGCATGAAAAAAACAAAATTTTCTATGTGAAATTAATTATAAGCGATGCTTAGCTTACCAAATTTAATTCCAACTTATTTTTATGGAACGAGGTGATACATTTATTACCGTAAAATAGTGAGACTATAAATATTTAAAGGTAATGATCGTATTCGTAACACCTCATTTGGTATAGAACATTTGGTAAACATATGTAGGAAATTAACATACCATTCGTGACTTATTATTTTGCACAATGTAATGAGGTGATAGAACAAACAATCCAATTAACAGATGTATATGATTTTTTTAGAACATTTTACTACAAATGTATGCTTACCGTTGGGGTATCACATCTGACTCTCACAGAAACCCTAGTTTTCTTGGCAGGGCTTTGTTCTGAAACTCCATCTTCCCCACTTCTCATTGTCTTGAGAATTTTCGGAGGGGGCAAAGTGTCCCTAGCTTCTTCCTTCACTTCTTCTAAGCTATTTTCAGGGCTTGCATTCAACGACGATTCGGCTAGTGTAATTTTGGGCATTTCATACTGGCAATCCAGTCCAAGAGCCAAGCCTTCTTTGTCTTGTTCATGAACTTGACCTTTGCTNTCTCAGGGCTTGCATTCAACGACGATTCGGCTAGTGTAATTTTGGGCATTTCATACTGACAATCCAGTCCAAGAGCCAAGCCTTCTTTGTCTTGTTCATGAACTTGACCTTTGCTAGGAATTACGTAATTCTCAACTTTCTTTGGATCAGTCGAAGTTCTTCCAAGGGTGAGGGAGACAAGTTCAGTTTCTTCGGCTTCTTGATGATTATTAGGTGGACTGGTAGATTTCTTGGTTTCTTGTTGAACAATGTCATGGAATTGCATTTGAAGGTTCTGGTAGTCTTTCATAATTTGATTCAAGTACATTCTCAATCTTTGATTTTCTTCTTTCACTTCACCCATTTCGGCTTTGGCTGATTCAAGCTGTTCATCCTACACCAGCACAATCAAAACTACACCTTAGGCTTGCACCTTAGTACTAGATTACAAGTATTATTATGAAAGAAAGAAATGGAAAAAAAAAACAAGGAAAAACAATAAAGGACGAGTTTGATAATTCAATTGTACGATAGTGTTAACTATTTCACTAAATGTTTTAAGAAGTCTTTGTGGTTTAGATTTACGAGCCTTCAAGAAATTGTTTGAAATCCCCTTATAATGAAATCATTTTATTATTATTTTTTTCAATAAGATAAATTCTATCAATNCAAGCCTTCAAAAAATTGTTTGAAATCCCCTTATAATGAAATCATTTTATTATTATTTTTTTCAATAAGATAAATTCTATCAATCGAGTTAATCTTCTGAATCAAGAGAAGATATACCATCCCTAGATCAAAAGGAAGCTATATACTCGGAAATTTTACAAGAGCTTCTGACTAAATAGAGAATAAGCAAAAAAAGATCATATCTGGGCAAGCAAGCACAGCATGAAGATACACATAGCAGCATAGTTTGAAGGAAAAACTTTTTTGGCTTGTATTAAATATATNTTATATTGTTGGTTTTTTTTTATGGAGTCTAGTTTGTATATGCGATCCGGATGATGACTCGATCCGAAGTAATGTCGTGTGGTTTTTAATAGAAAATTTTCTGAGGCTTAGTCCATGGAGCGAAGGCTTAGGCCGATAGGCCCAAGCCGTAGTGCTCATAGACAAGCCTCGTGGGGGTTCGGGGGCAACGCCCCCGAGGAAAATTTTTTTGGACCCGTTATACAGCCCAGTGCGTAGGACATATAAACCCTGTTGTTTTGGTAATTAGGGTTAATCGTGGATTGTACAGTCGTTCTATGTATTCAACTCTCTCAATAGTGAAATCCCTGCAGCTTNCGAGCCTTCAAGAAATTGTTTGAAATCCCCTTATAATGAAATCATTTTATTATTATTTTTTTCAATAAGAAAAATTCTATCAATCGAGTTAATCTTCTGAATCAAGAGAAGATATACCATCCCTAGATCAAAAGGAAGCTATATACTCGGAAATTTTACAAGAGCTTCTGACTAAATAGAGAATAAGCAAAAAAAGATTATATTGTTGGTTTTTTTTTATGGAGTCTAGTTTGTATATGCGATCCGGATGATGACTCGATCCGAAGTAATGTCGTGTNACATATCTGGGCAAGCAAGCACAGCATGAAGATACACATAGCAGCATAGTTTGAAGGAAAAACTTTTTTGGCTTGTATTAAATATATGGAGAGGCCCACTAGGTTCGAGGATAATTGGCCAGTTTTCAGTATCCGCGGTATGGAGAACATGCCTTTGGGATTTACCCTAATTAAAATTATAACATATATAAGTTAAGTTATAAGCCTACTTTTGGTATGGAATAAAAGCAAAACAGCTGTTTTCTATGGTGGACACAGACAAATTGCTGTAAAATCTTATTTTCTTTTTCTAATTAGTTATGTTTCTTTAATTGTTCATCGCACCCACACAAAATCNGTCGTTCTATGTATTCAACTCTCTCAATAGTGAAATCCCTGCAGCTTCGTGGACGTAGGCAAATTGCCAAACCACGTAAAATCTGTGTTTTATTCTTTCTTGTTTCTTATTGTTTTATATTCTTGATTTATTTTTCGATTGTGTGTGTTTGTTAGTGGATTTAAATCGTGTGAAATCCAACACATATCTGGGCAAGCAAGCACAACATGAAGATACACATAGCAGCATAGTTTGAAGGAAAAACTTTTTTGGCTTGTATTAAATATATGGAGAGGCCCACTAGATTCGAGGATAATTGGCCAGTTTTCAGTATCCGCGGTATGGAGAACATGCCTTTGGGATTTACCCTAATTAAAATTATAACATATATAAGTTAAGTTATAAGCCTACTTTTGGTATGGAATAAAAGCAAAACAGCTGTTTTCTATGGTGGACACAGACAAATTGCTGTAAAATCTTATTTTCTTTTTCTAATTAGTTATGTTTCTTTAATTGTTCATCGCACCCACACAAAATCTCAACATTGTTGTATATTACTTATGAGTTGCATTAGTCATGATACTTTCTCTAATCCATGCTTGGAAAATACGAGATCGAAAAGCTTATATCTAACCTTTTCCTTTTGGGTGGATGAAGATGCCTTTGAGTTGAGTTCTTCAGATGATCTTTCCATTCCATCCATGACTGTCATCTGTTTGAATATTGCAGTCAGAAAACCCCCCATGAAGTAGAAAATCAATTGAAGATAGTGTTTGTATGACTGGGATACTGCCATATCAAAGTGATTATTAAATGACGTGTTCTTTTTTTTTTTTCAAAACCAACGAAGCAAAAAGTAATCAAATTCAACCTTCCTAGTTGTCATGTGTTGTAATTGGGGACCAACCAGATTGAGTTGGCGATTATGTGAAGGATTTTCTTTGGCAGAAAGTTATAATAAGAGTCGTTTCTCTGAGCAGTAAAAATGATAATGTTCACATTCTACTGGTCAAAGGTTTAGAAAAAAGCCAAAAATTGTCTGCCAGCTCTGCCGACTACTGTGACTTTTTGATCATATTGCCAACCTGCTGCAAATGCAATGGAAACTGTCCATCCTAACCTCATAGTCATATGTATCACAAATTTACACCATCTTCTTCTTTTGTGTTTATTAAACACATATATACGTGAGGATTTATGAATGCATAAAACTTCGGTCATAATATTCATATTTGAAGATAGTAAAATAATTATAAGTTAAAGTTGAACATTTGTCCAATAAATTATAATTATCATGAATAAAGATAAGTTGTCTCTTGATAACAAAAATATTGATCATAGCTATGGAAAATAGTGTTCTTTTTAGAGATCATCGGAATCATTTTTGTGTTGAAAAGGATGAAAAATGACTTCTCGGGCAAGACCTGTCGTCTATCAAGTGATATGCCGAGAGCTAGGCTCGAAATGCATCGAAGGAGAGTAGTGGCTCTTTGGTTATCTCTTTACCTGCTTGTCACAACTGGTTAACTCCTTTTGATTTGGCTTCGTGCATGATGGCTTTATATTGTCATTCTCATGGTCTCTCCTTCCATTTCCAACCTGAAGAACTTTAAGGGTCAGCCTATGAAGAATTAAATATTTAGAGGAAACAGAAATATCTAAATCAAGTAGTCCTTAGTAAATATTTAAATAACTGTGATCTTCTGCAAGTATAAAAAAAAGTCAAATTACAAAAATTCACATAGAAAGCTATCATCAACCCAATTGAGCCCACAAAGATTATTGGAAAATTATCGAACTCAAAAATCATATTCTTTACATTCGATCGTCCCAGCCGACAACTGCCAGGGACGTAGAAGATTGAAGCTTTTCAGGCAGACCCAATAATTTAATCAAAATTTAAACGATTCAAAACATCCCAAATAATGGAGATATTCTCAAGTTTAACAGGAAAACCCCAGTTCATGAATCAGATGGCAAGGGAAGTGTCCCAAAGATAAGTCGAACAGCAAGAGAAAAAAGCATTACAAATCCATACTTCATTCACAGAATCTGATCTTCTTTGTCAATATGAAGCTTGAAAGCCTCAATTAAAATGAAGATTTAAGAATGAAATATAGCAAAAAATCGTAACAAATAACAGAAAAACAGATGATTCACACGGAGGGATCAAACTTCACCTTAGGAACTCTCTCTTCTTTGCAATCACCTTCACCAGCATCAGATTCAACCCTCTTCTCTTCCTTGACTTTACCTCCATAATCAGCCTTTCTAGCAGCCTCCATGGCTTATCTTCTCTTTCTCTTAGCTTTCTGAATTGCCCTTCTCTTCTTATAAGAAGAGAGCCTGCAGTGTTTGACTCGTTTAAACAATTTCAAACTAGTTGGCTTCACCAATCACACACATACAATGTCAATGGCCAAATTGCACCCAAGAAAAATGAAAAAAAATAATATATTTTCATCATACTGAATATTCTAAATGCTTAATAACTTGAAGAATTCAACTTCAACGTTTCAGTCTTTTAGATAACATGTCAGAGAGAGAGGTTAGAGCCGTAATAATCGCTCCCCACCGATTTTGGCTTAATATTTTTTAACAGCTATTGTTCAAGTTTCGTACATGGCAAAAGTCACATGGGAACGGGTTCCCTGTCAAACTTGTGCCACCGCCGAATTACTTCCGACAACCGGCGATATGTTTTTTTTTTTTTNAGGTCAATCGAGGTTCAGTACTGACTGGTTAGCCCTGTTGGCATATGTTGATTTCAATAACGTCAAGTTTAAGGTAGATTGTCGTTATTTGGATGCTTGATAGAAATGGAGAGAAAGGTCCTTAGGACTAACAGGGTCTTCTTCTCGCGTGTCCAAGCAAGGGCCAAATTCTTTNGTTGACTTCAATAACGTCAAGTTTAAGGTAGATTGTCGTTATTTGGATGCTTGATGGAAATGGAGAGAAAGGTCCTTAGGACTAATAGGGTCTTCTTCTCGCGTGTCCAAGCAAGGGCCAAATTCTTTCATAAATCTCTTGGCTGAAATTAATATTGTGTTCAACTCCGTGGTTGGTAGAGATTTTTCTTGTCATTTGTCTTTTCCTTCTAAGGGGCGGGGGTAGAGATCTTCGTCTCAATCGTATTATTCATAGACGACAAATGTAAAATTTCTTGGGATATACCAGTGTTAGTTTGATTTAGATAGATTAACTGCTGAGTGACTTATTTCGAGATATACATGTCTTGAAATAATTTATATTTCCAATTTTTTTATCAATGAAATAAATTTTAGGGATTAAAAAGAAGAACCAGACGACCACACATCCCACTTCGTAAAATTTAAAGCATGGCAATGGTGAAAAAAATAAATGTTTACAGCTACCGGAGCAACAAAATAACTGTCAAATTTTCCACAGCATGATTACTTTTAATTGCTTAATCCTTGAAAGTTGAAAACTTCGGGTCCATTAAGATATATAAATGCACTCAAACCAAAACCCTAGCCTGAGGTGCTATATTATTATTTCTAGGGTTAATTGTAAATTATACCCTGAAAAATTGTTTGAATTTTAATTTATACCTTCAAAAATTAAAAATTTTAAATTGTACCCTCAAATATATAAATTTATATCAATGTGCACCCTCAAAGATCAAAANTAAAAATTTTAAATTGTACCCTCAAATATATAAATTTATATCAATGTGCACCCTCAAAGATCAAAATTTTTAATTTGCACCCTCAAATATAACAATTTGTATCATTGTGCACACTCAAAGATAAAAAATCTCAATTTGTACCCTCAAAGATTGAAATTTGTATCAATGCACACCTAAAACTAAATTGATAAATTATACCTAGATCTTCTTATGCTTGTCACTTAATCATCTAACCTCTTTACATTTAAAATATTACTCCTATATCTCATGATGTTTGTGCACGTGTAATACGTAACTCTTTTTCGTTGATATCTATTAATATAATCGTTAAAAAATATGATTTTATCATAATAAAAAATTATAATTTCATATTACCCTTTATTTTATGGGTTCAATATACTCTAAAGTTCAAAATCAAGTTTACCATTTGAATGTCTAGTAGAATAAAGGGTTGCACATTAAGTGATATAATTGCATTAGATATAAAAAATATTATATACATATATACATTTTATTGAACATTCAAATGGTAAGCTTGATTTTGAACTTTAGAGTATATCGGACCCACAAAATAAAGGGTAATATGAAATCATATTTTTTAATGGTTATATCACATCAACGAAAATGGGTTACATGTTACACGTGCACAAACGTCTTGAGATATAAGAGTAATATTCTAAATGTGAAAGGGTCCAAATGATTAAGTGACAAGCATGAGCAGATCTAGATATAATTTATCAATTTAGTTTTAGGTGCACATTGATACAAATTTATATCTTTTAAGGTACAAATTGAGATTTTTGATTTTTGGAGGTGCACATTGATACAAATTTTTATCTTTGAGGGTGTAAATTGAGATTTTTAATTTTTGGGGGTCTAAATTGAGATTCAAATTATCTTTCAGGGTATAACTTACAATTAACCCTTATTTCTAAAGCCCATTAAATTCTACTAAACTACAACTAATCCAGTTGTGAACGTGTGATTCAATGGCTGCAAACCCGTTTCAATTCAACCTCGGGATCCAATTCGATGACATCTAATAATTGGCTAAGTTTGTTATGCATTTTTTTTTTAATTTTTTGATGTGTCCATGGGAGATTATCAAAGAGTTTTGGGGGTGATAATCTAATTAGGGCTGTCCGAAGGTTTAACTTATATATATATATATATATATATATATATATAGAGAGAGAGAGAGAGAGAGAGAGAGAGAGAGAGAGAGAGAAATTAAGTTGCTCTTTATATCACCTATAATTTTCATGATTTGCTTACATTAATGGCAGTGGTCAACCTCTATATACATTATTAGCAACCAATGCTAGCACTCAAACCTTAGCCAAAACATTTATATAATAAAATAGTTTATAATTCAAATCTCAAAAAATAAATAAAATAATTGTTGTTATTCATGGTTGAAATTGTTTTAAATTTTATTTTAAAGTTAATTTAACAGCTAATATTAACACCCTAAATTTAATAGAAAAAATAGGCCTATAAAGTTGTGTTTGGAGTGACTTTTTAAAAGTACTTCTATAAATTATTTCTCTTAAATACTTAAAAAAAGAATAGTGTTTGAAACCGCCCCACCACTACCTCTATTACCACTGCCACCACCACCACCACTACCACAGCCACTACTAGTGCCGCCGCCACCATTGTCACCGTCGCCACTACCACCACCATCGTCGTTGCTACCACCATCGCTGCCATCGCCACCATCGCAACCGTCACCGCCACCGCCACCGTTTCCACCATCGATGTCGCCACCATCCCCACTGTCGTCGCCCTTACAGTCACAGTCGTCCTCGCCTCTACTACGGTCATTGCCACCTACCACAACCATTACCGTCTCCTACCACCACTACTGTCGTCCAACACCTCTCACCCCCACTACAAATCGATGCATAAATTTCTTTGTCTCTTCTCTATGTTTGTGATTTGATTTTGGATATAAATAAAAATATGTTTATTATTATTTTTTTTTATTACTCTGTGCCTTCAGACACTGACAATAACTAGTCTAGATAATAAAGTATCTTACAATTCAAATTTTAAAAGATAAATAAAATGAATTTTTTTTTTGTGGTTCAAATCGTTTTAAATTTTACTTTAAAGTTAATTTAACGGCTAATATTAACTCCCTAAATTTAATAGGAAAAATAACGCCTTAACGATTTGTTTGGAGTGAATTTTTAAAAGCACTTCTAAGAATTATTTCTCATAAGTACTTAAAAAAAAATAGTATTTAAAAACGTNAACGCCTTAACGATTTGTTTGGAGTGAATTTTTAAAAGCACTTCTAAGAATTATTTCTCATAAGTACTTAAAAAAAAATAGTATTTAAAAACGTTTCACTACTACCTCTACCATCACCACCACTACCACCACCACTGCTGTCGTCACTGCCACAACCATCGTCGCCACGACCGTCTCCACCATCTCTGCCGCTGTTGCCGCCACCACCACCGTCGTCGTCGCTGCCATCACCATCGCCACTACTATCGCAGTCACCACCACCGCCACACTACCACTACTTTCGTCGCCGGTGCTGCCACAACCATCATCGTAGCCGCCACCCCCACCACCACCACCACCACCTCGGTCATTGCTACCCATTACAACCATCACCATCTCCTACCACCACCATTGTCACCCACCACCTCTCACCCCCACTACAACCGATATTTAAATTTATTTATCTCTCCTCTATATTTGTGATTTGATTTTAGATATGAACACAAATATATTTATTGTTTACTATTTTTTATTATTCTGTGCCTTCAGACACAAACAATAACTAGTCTATATAATAAAATACAATACAATTCAAATCTCAAAAATAAACAAAGTGATTTTTGCTTTTCGCGGTTGAGACCTTTTTCAATTTTACTTTAAAATTAATTCGACGACTAATATTAACATCTCAAATTTAATAGAGAAAATAAGCCTTTAAAGGTATGTTTGGGGTAATTTTTTAAAAGTGCTTATAAAACTTATTACTTTTCATAAGTATTTTTTTTTTTAAAAAAAAAGTAGTGTTTGGAACTACCCCACCATTACCACCACTATCATAATTACTACTACCATCACCACTGTCACCCCACCACCACAACTACCCCCACCAGCTCCAGCACCACTATCACCATCACCATTACCACTACCATTACCATTTTCATTACCGCTACATTATCACACCACCACCTCTACCACAATAACAATCACCACCACCACCCCAGCATCACCCCTAGCACCCCACCACCACTGTCACTACCCTACCACCACTGCTACAACCCTACCACCACCTCTTCCCCCAACAACCACCACCACTGTATCACCACCACTACCACCTTCATCGCCCTACAACCACCATCATCACCGCTGCCACCACCCTACCATCACTATCGCACCCCACCACCACCACCATTACCNATGTTTGTGATTTGATTTTGGATATAAATAAAAATATGTTTATTATTATTTTTTTTATTACTCTGTGCCTTCAGACACTGACAATAACTAGTTTATATAATAAAATAGCTTACAATTCAAATTTTAAAAAATAAATAAAATGACTTTTTTTTTGTGGTTCAAATCGTTTTAAATTTTACTTTAAAGTTAATTTAACGGCTAATA